ATCCATAGGAAAACATGAAATATGTTTTAGATCCCATAATTTCTAACACTGGCAAAACTATTTATTGTTTTTAGTTCACCTGAAACAACCAATCATAAATCTACTCCAAAAGAGTAATGTCACATTACATCTATATTAGTCATATAATGTGATAAATTAAATCTCACATGCGAGCTACTATTGTGCTACTTACTATACATACACGAGCTACTATTGACAAAGAAAATCAATGATCTTATATTGGGTGAAGATAACTAGGTCTATTAAAATATGTGTTAATGAAAAAACTTACAAGATAATAAAATTGCAAGATTACAATTAAAAATAAAATGAAGAAATTAATCTCTTCAGGCTGAGGCGCGGATATCTCGCTCTCTTTAAAGAGATTCAAGCCCACTGCAGCAAATGTTTTCACCGGTCCAGCAGTAGTCCTCTTTGACTTGTCCCCTCCAGGATACAACAGCCTTCACAAAGTATAACTCAACAACTCTGGACAAGAGTTGAGTCCAAAGCTCCACAAAAAAGAACACCTCTCTTCAACTAATAAGAACTCTCTTTTAGACTAACTCTTTCACTCTTTGTTTTCTCTTGTGTTTTTTGTGTGTATCTAAAACCAAATGAAGACTACCACTATTTATACTACAAGAAGTCTTCCTAGCAATGAATAAGAAGATAATGGAGGTAGTAAATAGTGAAGATAATGGTCTTAGGAGTTTCATAGGTTACAAAGAGTAATGGAGAAATTAAAAATGAAATACATTGACGGATAACCAATGCTAATGGATGATGTAGAAGTTATTCATTTCAATGTTTATTGGAATGTTTTTATCTCTACAATGTATTCAACCAATAAAGCCAAAAGTAATGACATTACATGGCTACCAAGTCAAAAATGAATAACATGATTAAATTGTTAGTTTAAAACACAAATGTCTACCAATTGTCATTCTTATAACTCCAAAATAAAGCAATTTAATATGTTAAATATTAATATTAAAATATTAATAACCTAACAATATGTATATCTTTTTTTTATTATAATTATTGAATTTCACTCAATAGATTGAAAGAAGAAAGTATACAAGGTTGTTTGCAAGTACCAAACTGATCTTCTTCCTCGAAGATCTCAAATGAACGAATTTTGGGAGAGCTTTCAACTTCAACTATGATTTATATTAAATTTGATCAATTTATCATCTTATCTACTCTGTGTTCTTGACAATCTATCGTTATCTTAGTAAGTGAGGTCGTTAGTAAAGTAACAAGATATAGGAAATATATCACCTTGCTTCTTTTTCCTTTGTTTTTTTAATCCACTCTTATCACACTTCCTTTTGAGGTTATGACTATACTCGTGACATATTTCAACTGTTTAGTTAAAATGCTTTTGACTTAAATGAAATAGATATTTATAAATTACTATATAATTAACATAATAATTTAAATTGTCTGATGAAGATAGGAATATATCTAAATGGAAGCCCTGATTTTAGTTCGAAATATTAATTAAAAAACTAAAATACAACAATGAAATGAAATAGTACTTAATTTGACTTTGAAGTCAAATCATTTTGAAACAAAAAATATATAAATATTCTCTATTTTTTAAACTAATAATTTAATTTTTAAAAATTTTACATTTATTCTTAACAAAACACTTCATAATTATTTTAAATTTTAAAATTCTTAAGGTATATTTAAGTAAATATGTGTGAATCAAATCAATGTCATTCAACAAATTTGGATGTTTCTCATCTAAGAACATACACAAACCAAACTTGTTTGAAAAATTTCCCTAAAAATTAATCTCACTCTCCTTTGGGCCAGCAAGACATTTTGTAGGTCCCACTAAAGTTAGTATAATTGAAGTGCTAACCAACCCCATGGAAAAGATTTTGGGGTCTACTTTTGGTTTGATATGCTAAGTGAGGAAGCCCCACAAACAAACCTAAAGTTTGAAAAGAGGAAAACAGTTGGAAAAGTTTCAAAGAAGAGCAATATACAGGGCTCGCCACGTTCTTATCTAAGGTTATATTCTTAATAAATCAAAGTGATGTTATGTCATACCTAATTACTTTCCCAGCCCTCGCTTCACTTGTCACACTTTCTTACTAACGTAGCCATGTACCTCCTCTTCACATGTTTTAATTATGTCACCGTTGTTTCCCTCATGCACCTCCGTCATATATAAAACTATATCTTACGTATCGTGAATCTGAATTAATCGAGATCTGACATTAATATCCAACATTAAAAGGATAATAAAAAAATTAACACGGATACTCTAATGGAAGGACCTATTCGTTATGTTATTACTCAAAGTTCTTATCCATTGGAATTTAAGACCAAAAGCTTAAAAAAAAATAAAAATAAAAGCAAAAGAAATGAGAAAAAAGCAAGAAGGTGAAAAAGCTGAATTTGAATTTGTTGTTTGTCTGTGAAGCATGTAAAAATAAGCAGTCCCTTCATGCATTGCCAACAAAATGATATCATAAGCACAGCAATTATTTAGTCCCCCACATATTCACTTATTTAATCATGCAAAATGTTTAAAAGTTGAATTATTTTACGAATCCCAATGAAAAAAAATCACAAAATCTTGTTTCTTTTTCTTTTTTTTAAATAAATTTTGCTTGCTGGCCGTTGACTGGAATTTGCTTCTTCTAAAATCATGATTTCACCATCACTTTATTTCTTTTCTTGTTCCCTTAGTTTGAAGACATGAGAACCAAGAATTTTGAAAAATATAGACTTGCGTTACAGTGGGATGGTTGAAATGTTATTATTCTGTATCAAAAATTTAAATTCAAACCTATAAAAAATAATATAAAATTATTAATATATAAATTCAAATTTATTAATTAACTTTCAATATAAATATTAAACATTCACCGAATAAAAGAATTAAAAAAAAAATTGGATTAAAGTATTTTTTGCTCCTTTGATTACTAATAAATTTTAAACTTAGTCCTTACAATATATTATTAGGGACGAAAATTATATATTTAAAGACGAAAATTAAAATTTACAAATAGTAGAAGGATACAAGTGTTAATTATTAAAGTCTCCCTATAAAATAATAATAAAACTAAATGAATGTTATAGAGTAGAGGAAAAATATAAATAAATTCCCAATATAACCTGGTGGCTAATTTTGCAGACAAATTAGACAAACCTATATGATAGCTACTATTGGAGGCAAATTAAAAGACTAGAGGACAAATTTTAGGAATTTAAAAATAATGGCTGGAGAATAAGAAAAAGACAAAGTTCATATTATAAAATGTTGCCCAATACAAATATAAAAAAGCGAAAGAATTATTTTTATACAAATTCATTTCATGTCTTCTCTCTTCCATATTTTTTTCAATTTTTTCTAAAATCTCTTCCCAAATTAATTTTTTTTCAATCGATTGAGGCACTCGCTCTATTTTTATATAAATCCATTAGCTATTTTTAGTCTCTCAATTTCTTTCAATTTCTCCTAAAATCGCTCTCCAAATTAAAATTTTCTTAAAAAATTATATATAGTTTTCACTGATATAGATTTTAATTATACACAATTTTTCAAATTTATAATAAATAGTTCCACTAATACATTAATAATACTGTATTAGTAGCATCATAAGAGTTTCTCTGTATATACAATATAAATATTTATACATTTGATACCATTTTGTGCATTGTTTTTGTTTAAGTTTTTGTATTTGTATAAGAATACTTTTTGTATAATGATTATTTAGACCTATATAATTGCACAAACTTATACACATACATAAATTGAAATCTGTTTGTATAATGTATATATACAGAATCATACATCCAAACTAAGGACGAACCTTCATTGTTTATAAATATACAAATTAAAAAAATTAGTCAACAGTTTCATATATTTATACAACTCACAACAACACTAATAGGTATATGTATATAAACTACAACAAATTCTATTTTTCATTTATATACATATTCCCAATATACACTTATATAAACAATTTCTTTTTCCTTTCTCTCTTTCTCGTTTTATACAAATTCAAATTGTATATAATTTCTCTCTTTCTCGTTTTATACAATTCAGTTCAATTGTATATGTACAACGAATTATACATATATATGTTTGCTATGGAGTGCAATTATGCAAACTTTACTATAATAAACAAATATAAATTTTATGTTTGCTATATGAGAAAGTTGCCCTATTATAAATAATAGAATATGTAAGGTACTCGTTTGATTTAAATATTTGATGCAAGACAAATTATTATCTACCTATTTTAATAAAAATAAAAATATTTCTTCACAAATTTTTAGCACATGAATCCAATAGAATTCAATAATTTTAATGTCATTGAAATTATAAAATGAAATTTACAAAATAGAAAGACTCTAACAAATTTTGAATAGACAATTATTGCGCTTGCAAATCTTACATATGAACTCAACAAAACAAATATCAAAATCAAACCACTATTAGTTAAAGTTATCCTAAAAGTTTAGATTGTCCATATAATTAAATCAAATTTTGAATTCATTTGCCTAGTCTAGCTACAAATTCTCAAAATATCATATAAATAAGGCTTAAAATATATTCTTTGTGTCAATTTGTATAGCACAATTGAAATTTTGAGATATAATTTTCTACATTTTGAATATAAATTTTTATATAAAATTTTACATTTTTTAAAATAAAATTTATATATTTAAAAGCTACGTAATCATAAATAACAACTGAAAATAATTAAGAGATATTAATTTCGACAATCTTTTTAAATTGATTTTCGATATTTTATTTGTATTACATAAATTAAGATAAATAAGATGATAAGTGTGTCACTAATTTTAATTTTAATTTTAAAAAAAAATAAATTATAAGCCCCAAATCTTCCTTTGAAACATTTGATTCCCCATTATTTTTCTATTTATATTTTTTGCACCTTGTCTTTATTTTTCTTTGATGGGCCATATCTTTTGTCTCTATTTAAATACTAGATGACACATTTGGAACATACATACATACTCTTCTCTGCATCACACAAAAACTTATCAATCAAAAAAAAAAAAATGGGTGACCTTCACTCAATTGCTTACAATAGCTTCTCTTCCCTAGGTTGTGACTTCCATGGCCTAGAAGTTCTCAACAATGATATGTCTCCATGTAAAACATCTATCTCCTCTTCTCTCATTTTCGCTTACTTCCATTTTCGTCAATTAGTCGAATCAGAATTTAACATTTACTATATATATAATATTGATATACGTAATTTTATTTGAATATTAGTCATTTTTCGAAGTTGAGTCCCCTTATATCCCTCTAACTTTGCCATCTAGCTACTCTTTACTTTCTCTCTTCTTTTTCTTGTTCCCAATTTTCTTATTTGGCTTCGTGAGTAGTTGTGAATGTATAGGTTTTATCGAAAAATTCAATATTTACTATATATGTGTGTATATATATATATAGATTCAAACAAAATTTTCACCAAGTAATTTACTATATGCTATATATAACCTTGTGAATTTTTTCGCCTCTCTAGCTCCAATCTCTGCTAATATTTTTATAATTTTCGCCTCTCTAACTCCGCCCCTTCTAATTTTTAATTCTTTTTTTTTTATAGTTATGGAGAGCACTCCACCATTTTTGTCAAATTTTGATTGTGAGTTGTCAAGTGGATATCTACAAGATGCTTTATTCAAATTCAACTCAAAAAGAAGGCGTTTATTTTTGTTTAATGATGATGATGACAAGGAGAATTATCAAAATAAAGATTCAATTAAGGTATAATTAATTACTTTGTTAATTCTATAGCATTTCTTTTTTGTTGTTGAATTGTAATTCAATGGATATTTTTTTCTTATTTATGTTGCAGAATTTGTGGAGCTCCACAATTGACCAACAATTTTCTGAGGATTATGATTCTTTTAGCCAGATAACCAAGTGTGATAGCTTTTCTGGTAATTCTAATTCTTAATTCCCTTTTAATTTATCTCAGTATATTTTGCTTAAATAATTTAGAGATGGAATTAATTTCCAGTAATATAAATGTACATATTTAGCTTTGTTTCCTATGATTTTTTTAAATTAAATTGAATCGTCAAATCTCTTTATAATATTAATTAATTGTTATCAAACAACCTTTGCCTTTTGTTCTTAGACCTCTTTATAATAGTAATCATGATCATTATAGACAACTTTTTGAAATGGTCAAACTCATTTGAAATGATTTTTTCATATTATATTATATGACTTTATAAGATCATCGTGTTGTAACAACTAAAATATATCCAACACAATGCAATTGTTATTATCATTACTTAGTATTATTTTTTTTAAAAAAACGTTTGGTATGGAGTAATGATTAGTAATAGCCGTTATGATTTGCATATTAAATTTAAATTTAAAAGAGGTACTCCTATTATGTTTGTTCTAATTAATCTGTATTATGATCATAATAATGATTAATTTAATTATAGGGGATCCAATGAGCAAAATGAGTGAAGAATATTCCAAAAGAACAGAGGAGGAAGCAATCTCAGAAAATTATTATTATTCTTCTAATTCTTCACCAACATCATCATCTCATCATAATAAACAACCTCTACAATATGGTAACTCTCTCATTTTTTTCTTTCTTTCTTTTATAATTAGTTATATTAGAGACGGATTCAAATTTTAAAATTTATAAATTTTGAATTTGAAAAAGGTCATTTTGTTAGAATTTTAAATAAAGTATATTTAAATTTTTATATATGGATTATGTTTTAACGTGAATGCAGAATCTTAATCAAAGTTAATAAATTTTATTTAATTCATAGTTAAATTTTAATTCCATCCTTGAATTATGAGATTGATTTTGCGGGTAGTTGATTTTTAATTGAAGTTATTATTTTTGACTCAAAATATATATGCATATGCTAGAAAAAAACCATTTTTTTACATATGTGTGGGGGTGGTTGTTCTTTCTCATGACAGCATACCTTATTTGCCATTTTCAAAAAAAAAAGTCTATACTTATTAATTAAAGTGCGACTTTATATAAGAATTTTCAGTTACTAACTAATTAAATCTCTTTAAATATGTTTTTTTGCTAAAATGTTTAAATGGTACAAATATATACGGGATACTCAAAAGTCAAAAAGTAACCACTAATGTTGTTGACTTGCTCTTTTAATTTGAATAGTAAATATTTCGCAACTGTAAAGCAAATAATTTATCAATTGTAAATTATAATTATTTTAGGTAATAATAGTTGAAAGCAGTCATTAATATTTATATTAAAATAAGAATTTAAAATATGATTTTTTTTTAAAAATTTCACAAATATAAAATGTTTTACCTATCAAACTATCTATAATTAGTGATTCTATTGTGTTTGAAGGAGGAGGTGATAAAAAGAGAAGAATGTGTGGAAAAATTGTGTATCCATTTGGGCTAGTGAAGCCCGGAGGGCAAGAAGGAGACGTGACATTAAATGACATTAACGAGAGGATTCTAATGAGGCCGACCCGGCCCGTAAGGCATCCGGTTGGGGACTTTGCATGTCGTTCGACCGTATGCCCTGCTGGACCAGGATTATCCGGCAAGACGGTGGTTGCACTCACCAAAATTCATACTCAAGGGAGGGGGACAATCACAATTATAAGGACTCGAGGGTGATTGGAGAGGACGTACCACCTAGGTAGCTAGCTAGGGTCTATTTCGAGGTATGTAGGATCAGATAGGAAGGTAAAACTAAAAGAGAATATGTATCTTTATATTCTATCTTTTGCTCATTTGATTGATGAAATAGGTTGAGAAAAATGATTGTAACGTTTCAAAATGGAAAGACCTGGCAGCTCGTTTCGCCCTTGTTGATATTCTTTGTAGTTATTCAATGAGAATTAAAGAGTGTATGATATATGATATGAATATATATATGGATGCAAGTGGATGTATAGATTCTATGTTTATTACTGAAAATTAGGATGAAAAATGTTTTGCTTTTAAAATTATATTTCTGACAATTTGAAGATTCTTAAAGTACTATTTTGAGTTATAAAGGGATCTTGTTTGTACGTACGTAGTTAAGCAGAATAATGGACTGAACAAAGGTCCTAATAATAATCCAAAAATGTTACTCTAGTTTTAAATTATGTTCTAAAGTGTGATATAGGAGTATCCTTTATATGTCTATAATTTTTTTAAAATTTATGGATTTAAATGTGTTATAATATTTGTGTAACTATAAAAAAAAAATTAATTCTCCTACGTTAAAGTTTGGGATAATTTCACTTTTACTCCCTCAAGTACGTTCTGATACCACAATATAAAAATTCTGTGATATCTCAGACTATATTTAGAATTACAATATCCTAAAATATGTAGTAGTAGTAATATCAATCTGACAATTGATTTGCTTATATCTCATTAAATTTGTGAAGATCCATAGTAAGAGAGATGAGAAAAGGTACGCACTATGATCATGTTGACAATTAACAAATCAATATGATCAAATAATTAGTGTTAGGTCTATTTTTTGAAAAAGAATTAATAAGTGTTAGGTTATAAGGAAAAAAATACTTAGGAGGAAAGCAACGCATGTGGCTAAAGTGAACTATCTCTTTGACTATATTGCATCCTAAAGGCTTAGTATAATAAGTTGAAATTAGTAAAGGGGAAAAAAGAAAAAGAAAAAAAGGAAAGAAGTTCATTTATTAAAGAAAAAAATAAAGAGAAAAAAAAGGTAAAGGTTGATAAAAAAAAAATTACATTTTTTATATTTAATAACTCCATAATTATAATATAATTCAATTTCGCCTTACCCCTCTTAACATTTAAGATTTGAGCAGGAAAAGATATTCTTCAATTAAAAAAATCAAATAATTATCACCGATTATTTTTAAGAAATTAAAATAATCTTTTTTTTAAAGCAAATAATTTTTAGTGATAATTATTTTCCAGACTTTTAAAGTTATATTTTTAATCTAGTGATCAAATCAAAGGTGATTTTTTTTATATTTATCTAAATCATGGTTAATGAAAAAATAATAGTTAAATTAGTTGAGAGGCATAAAATCACTTATAACAAACATACTAATGATGTCTTGATGAGATAAAAGTAAAGTTAATATAACTAGTAAGTGACATTGTCAAACTTTCTTTTTGATACATGTTTGCACTTATGTTACTTTTATTTCACTAAAACTAAGAAAATATAATATTGTTGGTGGAAGGTCCATAGTCTATAGTCCATAAATTTTAAATATAGGACAAATTAAAATGAGTAGCTATCATAGGAGGCACATGTTACCATATAATAAGTTTCATAAAAAAAGGACCATTTCCCATAACACTTTGTGAAGGACAAATCATTATATGTAACAATTGGTATAAAAACAAGATTTGGTTAAAAAAAAGGAAAATCATCACCCTATGTTTAAAGTTTAATTATATGTAGGACCCTAATTAATTAATCATTAGTGTAATGTGCATGATTTTATGTTTTAATTTGAAATTAATCTATTAATTACTAATAGGTTGGTGAGGTGGAATTCTAGACTATGTATGACCTTGTTTGAAAACTATGGGAGAAAGAAAGGGATAAGATATGGAAAATATTTGAGATTGACTATTTACAAAGGGTGTATTGTTACAATAAATGTGATTATTATTAGAGGTAGAATGTTATTATAAAAAAAAATATAATATAAAAAATTGATTTCGAAAGAAACTTGTTTCGTTAGTGAAATGTTACGGTATTTCGATTATAAAAATTCTATTTAAATTTTAAATTAGTTTAAGTTAATTTATATTTTTACTTTTTACTGACTCTTTTCAAAAGCGAGAATATCTGGTGAATCAAAAATAATTAATTAGTTTCTTTTTATTATATGGTAAAGTTTATTTAAATTAAAAGTTTGTCTATAGTAGGCGTATATTTTAATTTAAACTTAATAATTATGGCAGGCATATTTTATAGCTGTATGACAAACTAAACAAAAATATCTATTTTTTTTGTCTTTTCTGGAACAATTATACATTAGATTAGACCTGGTTATTTGACATTTTTGGGCACAACTTTTTTTAATAATTATTTAATTATAGTAGGTATGAATAATTTTATAAGTTAGATATGCTTAAGTGGAAAATCTGATAGCTAGTAGATGATTTTTTCAACAAATAATATTATCATCTGTTAATTATTTCATTAAGGACATAATATTATGAGAAACTTTCCATAATAGCTATATTTTTGTTCGTTATTCTGAATATAAATATAATATTTAATACAGTGCATTAACTGTCTCTTCTCCTAAGGATCTAAACAAAAAAACTTTTTACTTCTCAAGACTATCTTCTTTCATTCTCATTTGTAAAAATATTATTATTATTATTATTATTATTATTATACCTTTTAGATTTATTTCTGAAATGAGTTAATGACTTTTTGAGATTATTGCTCAGCCTTAAACAGAGTTTTTGATTTGACTTTCCATAAAAAGTATAGTTCCTCACTTCAATAAAGAAATTATAAGTCAGGAGGTCAGATCTCCAAATATTATGTAATTCTATAGAATATTATTTTTCTTCTTAAGAATTTATACAAGTGTAAAAAGTATAATTAATCCACTTATTTATTTTACAAAATAATACACTTAAAATATTTTCCTTCGTTTTTACTTGTTTATAATAATTCTACACATTTTTTATGATAAAATTAAGATTGTGCCTAGTTCCAGAAATATCATAATTAATATGAAACGGAGAAAGCAAAAGAGATACAAAGTGAAATATTTCGATATACACACAAATACAATGGAAGTAGGAAAATACTTTGAAATTCAAGTATTACAGTTACTTTTATTACATGAATTTATTTAGAGAGAAAATAAAGGAAAAGACAAGTAGCCAAAAGAGTAAAAGAAAAAGAAAGATTATTATTAAAGCAAAGAGGAAAAAAGGAGGAGGAAGAGATAATAAATAAACCTAGATATATGTGAGAATATTATCCCTCTACCTTTTGCTTTTTCTCAAATCCCAAATGAATAGAGAATTAGATTCTCATTCAGATATATAATATACAATAAAAATATACACTTTATATTGTGATTTGTGTCCTTAGGATTTCAATTAATTTTTAATTTTTCTATTAAAAAAATATTGATGACGTCAAAAGAATGCAGTTTTCACATCATTTTATGATATAAAATCCCATGAAATGGACTTGGATGGGATATAACAACATATTCAAATATGTATCTGGTGTAAATTCAAGTGTGATTTAGAGATGATGAGACATATGCAAACCCTAGCTTATATCTATCATCGTGGAGTATATAGGTTGTTTTCAGTAGTTCATCGGTTTTTTAAAAAAATTATTCATATATATAGAAGGATTGTCAGAAGAAAAAATGACAATAAAATATGATCAAAATTCAAAGTAAAATGAAGCAATAGATAATAGAAATATATATATGAATAAGAAACTATGTGATACTATATACAACTATTACTAAAAAGAAAAGGACCCCATTCTTATCTCACCCACCTAATAAATGACCATACTCGTTACCTACTAACCATTTATATTAACTTTTGATTGTCGTTGTACCTCTCTATCTAAGGACGAGTACTCAGTTAGTGGTGTGTCTCCTATTAAATCATCTTCACTAAAATTTTTGTAGGTCCATCTCTACCTCTTCTAACTATTGCTACGACCAACCTCTCACACCTTTTAATTGACAGATTTATGCACCTCCTTTTTTTACATATCTGAACTATTTAATCCTCACTTTTCTCTATCTTGTTCACCCTCAACTCCTCAAGCATTATACTAAAGGATGATACAACAACACTACTTCTAACAAATTAATGTATACATCGATTCGTTAGTGTTGAGCCCAATATATTTCTATCTTGTTCACCCTCAACTCCTCAAGCATTATACTTGGATCTTAGGGTGCTTGTATTAGGAGAGATAGAGGTAGGTCGAAGAAATTTTGGGGAGAGATGATTAGACAGAGTATGTCATATTTATAACTTATCAAGGAATGGGGATGAAACCCTAAATAGAAAATATAAAGATTGAGGATTAAAGTAAAATATTAATTGATAATTAGATAGTTGTGTTTCAATAAGAGTTTAATGGAGTTGTAAGTACTTCTTCATCCTTAACCAAAAGGTGTCGGGCTTGTGTACGGAGTCACCTTTATTAGGAAGGGCTTCACCCCCCAATATGGGACTTTTTGATGCGAATTCAGATTTAATCAGACTCCAATATGGATAATGAATACCGAGCGAGAAACAACAACAAAAAAATAATAGGTAGTCCAAGTGTTGTCTAATAGTTCCCTTTATCAATATTATATTATTATTACTCTCCTACTTCTTAGTATGACATGTTGTTTTCATTGTTTGAGTGATCATATTTTTTGTTGTTTACTACTGCTCTTTTTCCACCTGACATCTTTACTACCGTATATAACACTATAATTCAACAAAACAAGACAATTATATACTTGAGAGTAGCTGTTCAGAAATTAGGAGATTACAGCTTTTAGTCACAATAAAAAGCTATCAATCTTATTAAACAGGATCAATAGAATGTTGGCTTTTTCTTCAGAGAAAGATTGTACATTATACATTTTGGACATCTATGTAGAAGAGCTTCTCTGGAAATAAAAATTTGAGACCATCATATATAAGTGAGTTCATAACTTCCTCAATACAAAGCAGCGCTTCTTTTTCGCAATACATTATTCAAATGAACTTGTTTTAGAACAATATATGCTACTTTATTCAAACATAAAACGATACATAAATCAATGTTCATAGTAGTATTCACATAATCACAGTGTGGAAAGGCTCAGTCTGCCTATGATGTTTTATCTTCCTCTGCGATCCATTGAGGAAAGCTTGGTCTTCCCGAATCAATTCTGATGAGGTGCTCATCCTCGC